CAGGCACTGTTCCGAGGTCAGAAAGCTGCCCCCACTCCTCACTATAAACGGACATGAACGCTGCCTGCTGCCTCCAAGCCGACGAGATGTGGATGTTCCTGGCAGAGCTCTGTGAACTGTAAAGCGCTTTGCAAACAGGAGAAGAGCACTGGCGTGGGAACCAGGAGACCGGCTTTGGCTCTGTGTCCAGGAAGCCAGGTGGCCCTGGACAAGGGGCCCTTTCTGCAAGCTCAGTCTCCTCGCCAGCAAAATGGAGCGTGAGACTGGACGGGCTCTAAGACCCGATGAGCTCTCAGATTCTCCGACTCTATTTGGGGCCCGGTCAGGCCTCAGGAGGCTAGGAGGCTAGGAGGTGAGGGGTGACCGGCCCTAGGCTCCACCCCTTGCTCTTGGAGTTGGCACAGCAGAGAGGCACACAGGGCCACTGCCAGTAACCTGGAGGGAGCACTGTCCCAGGGGGGAAGGTGGCTGGTCAAGGGGCTGTGCCCACCTGCTCCCCCTCTCCCTGCCCCCTACAGGAGATGCCACAGGAAGACCAACGCCACCACTGCCTGGACAGGGGAGTCTAGAGACCCGGGAAGAAGAGCAAGTGACCACCCCCACCGACGTGCTGGTGACCCTGGGCCCCCCAGGTACCTGCAGCCGGCCCTGCGAGGTGTGGGTGTGACTGCCCAGAGCCCACTCGGGGCCTCTCCACCAAATGAACGCACAGTCTGCAGCCACTCCCCCCCAGCTCAGCCCCGCTCATCTCACAGGACCACAGGGGCCCTCGTGGGAGTCCCGCCTGGCGTCTGGTGCATGGGTCCAGCCGGGAAGGGGAAAGAGAAGGGACACCTTGGGAGGGTCTCACTCAGAGCCCTTCCGGGAGAACCCAGGGGCCCCTCGAGGATGGGGAGCCTCCGGAAGCCTGGCTCTTCCAGGCTGTTGACTCTGAGTCATCTGAGTGTCCTGGCAGAGGGCGGCCTCCGGCCCACCCCACGGGAGGGGCGGCTTTCGGGAAGGTCGGGTTCTCAAGGTTGTTTAACTGCCGGGGAGCCTGTGTCCCCCCTCCACCTCGGGCTGCAATGGTGAGGGGGTGCGGGGCGGGGAGATTCCTGGCAGATCCACCTCGCTCTGGAATGTGCCCTCCTAAGGCTCTTTGTTTGGGGACTTGGCTCAAGAGAAGCAAGGCCAGTGTTACCTGCTGCTCCCTGCACACGTGTGAGCTCACGTGCGCTGTCGTGTGCGCCCTCACACGGGCCCAGGTTTGCTGAGCTCTTAACCTCACAGACTGAGGCCACCTTGGCGGAGACAGGTCTTTCTGGATTTCCCCTGGCAACGGGAGAGACCCCGCAGCCTGATGGAAAAGTCCAGAACATGTGGGGTGGAGTCGGGGTTTGTCTTCCTGGGCTGGAACCAGGGCACCCCATGGCCCCTCCCAGGCCCTCTCCCCTCTGGGCTCAGTGCGCTGCTCCTCG